ACACACACACACACACACACACACACACACACACACACACACACACACACACACATATATATATATATATATATATATATATATATGCTTTTTCCTGCTTCTGGATCTTCACTAGAAGATCCAGAAGCAAGAAACATTCAAGTCTTGTAGACTAAAGAGAGAGATGGGCAATCAGCACATTGCTTGTTATCAGCTGTTTAATTATGGTGATAAGCCAATAGCGGGACATCTATCCCAGATTCTGAGAGAAAATGACATGCTGAAAATGGAAGGATGAGTAGAAGTCGGGTGAGAGTGTGTTTTGGGAGGGTGAGACAGGGGTTGGGTATAGGTTGAAAGCTTTCTCTAGCAGAGGTATCAGCTAGATGTTAGAGTAGAGGTTTCATTGACACAGGCAATAAGTGCTTGAACTCTGTTGTCTCAAAAATCACTACAAACTGGAGAAAATTGTGATGCAGGTGCCAGGCAGGAAAAAACACTCTTATGGTACAGGAAGTAGTCAGAGCAGTGGCCAGCCTTCAATGCAGTCCTTCAATCTGTGATAATAAGGGAAAGTATTTGGGTGCTATGGCTCGCCCCTGTAATCCCAGGACTTTGGGGAGCCAAGGTGGGCAAATCACTTGAGCCGGGAAGTCAAGACCAGCTTGGACAACATGGCAAAACTCCATTTCTGCAAAAAAATAGAAAAATTGATGGCGCATGGTGGCACAAGCTACTTAGTCCCAGCTACTTAGGAGGCTGAAGCAGAGTATCAACTGAGCCCAGGAGGTCGAAGCTGCAGGGAGCCTTGACCATGCCACTGCCCTCCAACATGGGTGAGAGAACAAGATCCTGTATTTAAAAAAAAAAAAAAAAAAAAAAAGGGAGGGGGGAAGTGATTCTTCCTCTGATCAAAATTCTATAATAAATGTTTTTTCCTTATTAATTCATAACTTTATGTCTTAAGGTCTTTTGAGCTTGAAGGGATCTCATTACAATTAGATGTTCAACTCATATTGGTATCACTAACTGAACCCAAAGAAGACATGTTTTGCAAAACTGGGGAAGGGCCAGGTTATAAGGGAGGCTAAAGAGGAAGAAAAGTGTGATAAATGAGTATTATTTCCTCTCTCTATGAATGTTCCAAGATTCATCTCTCTTTAAAAACTGTCACAAACTTCCCCGTACAAAGAGGACAATAAAAAGATCCAAGGACCCCATAAGCCATGTTTCCCTCCAATGTAGTCAGGTCTGGAGAATCTTAGTTGCTTTCCCTACTAGTCTTTATCAACCTTGATTCCACATCTCCAGACAATGTGGTCTGTGGCAGTGTGATGGCCAGCAATAGAAAGGAAGATAGTAAAGTTTCAGCAACTCACAAATAGATTTTCTTCTTGGAGGAGCTTGAAGAGTATGCCGCCATATTACAAATATTTTTCATAGATTTTCATTCAATAGTGATTCCTTTAGCTATCCAAGGCCTCTCTAAAACCAATCAAACTGATGTTTTCTTAAGAGACAACTTTGTAAATTTCAAATAATAATAATAATAATAATCAAATAACATGAAAGGCCAATATCAAGTTATATATATGATAATAACTTCTAAAATGGGTCATTAGATAATGTATGTGCAACTTTTATTAATTATATGGAAACAGCATCTGTAACTATTTTGTCCTGTAGCTATTACTTTATTTTTAATTCCATTTTAAATTCTATTAAAGTTATACATGTGCATATTTTAGTTTATTCTCTCCATGTCTTGATCTCCAGAGGTAAACATTTTAATTTAACTATTTTAGGTGGTTTTTTAAATAATTTTAAATGTTATAATCACATAGGTTTGGTTATATTTTTACTTCTTGATTTTTCAGGTTTGTCATTACCTATGGACTTCCCATTATAGCACACCCTCACATTTCTCTCTCTCTCTCTCTCTCTCTCTCACACACACACACACACACACACACACACACATGCACACACACGTAGACCCCCTTCATGGTTCCTTATCGTTCCAGTATTGTTATATCATGACTATTTTTTAGGTAACTATTTACTGTTTACATTAAGACAATGCAAGTGCTAATCATAGCTAAGCAGTATACTACCATGACTTTCAGGTACAACTTCCCTGCAAGCTGAAACCTAGTAGGTAAAAATTCTCTTCATTTGCTCAGTGCTCTATATACATATGACTAATTCAATCAAACTCTCTTCTCCATCAATGTAAATCTTATTTTAATATATTCAACATATTATGTGGGTATTTCTTTTTTCAATTTTGGAAAATCTGGACCAGCTACTGTCTAGACTTAATGCATGTATGTTATCTCTGAATCTTCCTTTTGGTATCATTCCAAGGATTCTCTTTGCTTTGCTTTTGTATTGGGGTCCTTGTTTTCTGTATCCCAGATCTTCCTTTTTCTGATTGGACTTCATTGTTCTAGTACAGGACATCTGCAAACAGCTGACTAATAAAACATGCTTAGGTAAATTTTTAAAGGTGTACATCTAAAACTGACTTCGTCCTACCTTTAAACTGAACTGATAGTTTGGCTGGGTAGAGAATTCAAGGTTGAGGATAATTTTGGAGGCCTTGCTCTATTAAATTATAGTTTTGTGGCTATTGAGAAGCCTGATGCAATTTTGATTATGGGTATTTTCTTTGTCTCTGGTGTTCTAAAATTACATGGTTGTTTATTGAAGGGAGTCTCTTCTCCATACTGCTACCCATTTAATATGGAAAAAAAAAAAAAGGTGTTCTTTTCTAAGAAACATTCTTGCCCTATTTATCTGATAATTTGGTTTTTTGCTTTCAATGTACTATTTCTGGAATTCCTTCTTTTTCAATGTTGGACATCCTGGAATTGTCCTTTAATTTTCTCATCTTTTCTCTTATATTTCCAATTATTTATGTTCAATATTGTTTATTATATTCTGAGAAATATCTCCAACTTTATATTTATGAAAATTGTTTATATTTTTAGTTTTCAAAAACATCTTTTTGATTTTCAAATGTTACTTTTCATAAGACTCTTTTGCTTTTAAAGGCACAAAAATTTTCTCTTCTCCCTCTGGAGATGTCAATGATAAAGATTTGTGATGAAGACCGTAATTCAGAGAGCTTAGTCCCAAGTTGCTTTTCTGTGTTTGTTTGCTTTGGTCTCTGTAATTCATAGTAGAATTTTTCCTCATAGATCTAGTGATTCTTAGTAGATATTCTTTGCTTCTTTTTAAAGAAATATTCCTTATAATGTCTTTTCTAAGAGACTATAATTTCCTCTTATAAAAACTAGACTGAAACTAATGTTAGCTTTGGCAAAAGGTGATTCCTGAGTTAGGAGTGAGTGAGTTTCTAGAAGAACCATATTATTTCTGAGTTAACAATATGTACGATGTAGAAGAGACAGGAGATCATCAAGGTTTGTTACATGAGCAACCATCCATCATCTTCCAGCTGAATTCTTATCCCTCTTCCCTTTTTTCTGTCACTTTTCTGGCTTTTACTTCTTATTTTTAGCCTTTTAGTTCCTCTCTCTTGTCTTAACTTCTTTAGCCTTTTACTTCCTTCTCTTGTCTTCTGTATTTATTGCTTTGCATATTTCCTATTGTAGACAAGAGGAAGTTCAAAGACTGGGGGAGAGACAGTATCTTCCAAACATGCAGAATACTTTGAAAAAGAAAAAATGTAAAATTAAGGGAAAAACAAAATAGGATCAGGCATCTATAAAAGTAAGACGAAAGTACTAGGAGTGAGAACTTGCAAGAAAAGTTCTCACATAACTAAAAAAATGACAAAAAATTGACACAAAATAGTAGCACATACCAAAACATGAATAACAAGCCTCCATTTTTTTATCTATTAAAATGGAGGAATAATTATTCTGACCTATCTCAAAGGACTATTTTCAGAGCTAATTGAAATTATGAATGCGGAAAGCATTTTAATTTGGATTTAATTTTTTCACAACCACATCAATAAGAATAAGCACTTATATAGTACTTACAAACATAAGAAGGACACTTTGACTTTATCACTTTTTTAGCTGTTATTCAGTTAGAAGACCATGAGAAAGGCAAGAACTGAGATGGTAATTGATAAAAGTTGTTTGCCTTTTTTTGTCTTCTTTTTTAGACAGGATCTCATTCTGTTGCCTGACTATAGCCACAACCTCCCAGGCTCAATCAATCCTCCTTCCTCAGCCTTCTGTGTAGCTGGGACTACAGACAAATGCCACCGCATTCAGCTGATTTTTGTATTTTTTGGTAGAGATGGGTCTCACTATATTGCCCAGGCAGGTCTCAAAACTCCTGGGCTCAAGTGATTCTCTCACCTCGGCCCCCTAGCATACTGGGATTACAGGTGTGAGCCACCACACCGAGCTCAAGTGATTCACCCACCTCAGC